AACTAAGGAAGGCCATACTTCTGTTCCGGGGCCCAAAACCCATCCCTATACATCACAGACCCTGCGCAGCTCCCTTGTGTTGTACAACCCTCCTCCTACACAGCTACCTCAACAGATTTACCTGAAAGAATCTGAACCTTGTTAGATCTAAAGGTGTCCTTTTACAAGCAAAACCCACGTCCCCTCAGAGGAAGCCTGAACGATTGCCTCCAGGTTAGAAGGAGAAGAAGAAGAGACTGGATTTATACCCCGCCCTTCACTGGAGTCTCAGAGCGGCTTACCAACTCCTTCCCCTCCCCACAACAGACACCCTGGGAGGTAGGTGGGGCTGAGAGAGCTCGGACAGAAACGGCTCTCTTTCAAGAACGGCTCTGACAGAACTACGGCTTGCCCAAGGTCATCCAGCCAGGGGCGAGCGGAGGAGTGGGGAATCAAACCCGGTTCTCCCAGATCAGAGTCCGCACACTTAACCACGACACCAAACTGGCACCAAACCACAGTGGTGGTGAACCTATGGCACGGGTGCCAGAGGTGGCACTCAGAGCCCTCTCTGTGGGCACGCGTGCCATCGCCCCAGCCAGGCCCAGACCATCATTACAGTGTCGAATTTTCTGCCAAATAATTTTAAGTAAACGAAAGCATTTGGGATTGCTTCCCTTACTTTGTTTGGATCATCTTAAGTTAATGTATGAGTTGTTTTTTCCTAAAGTAAAACCTCAGTATTCAGGTTAAATTGCCGTGTTGGCACTTTGCGATAAATAAAGTGGGTTTTGGGTCGCAGTTTGGGCACTCGGTCTCTAAAAGGTTCGCCATCACTGCACGACACCAAACTGGTTACCATTTGAACTGCAGCCCACACTCTTCCCAAGAACCCCGCGATTCTCAGGAGCTAGTAGGAGCACACCGCTGAAGATGGGAGTGCTCATGGTTCTTTGGATCCAACCCTACTATGAACACGCACAAGAGGATACATGAAGCTGCCTTAGACTGCATCAGACCATCAATTGATCAAAGTCAGTATCATCTACTCAGACCGGCAGTCGCTCTCCAGGGTCTCAGGCTGAGGTCTTTCATGTGATCTCCCACCTGGACCACTCAACTGGAGATGCCGGGGATCGAACCTGGGACCTTCTGCGTACAAAGCAGAAGCTCTCCCCCTGAGCTCTCGCCCCACTCCATAAACATGGGGACTTTGGGTTCAGTTGCTGCGCTCTCCAGTTAAACCATTTCAGGCAGCAGATGCTAATGAAGACCTTTCTCTACCCATGACCTTGGAAGTGTCACTGCCTGTTAGAGAAGACAACACTGAACTAGATGATCCATAGCAAGAACCGGTGCCGTCAAGTCGCAGCCGGCTTATGGCATACCTGTAGGGCTTTCAAGGCAAACGACAAATAGAGGTAGCAAGCCTGGACTTCGTTGGTGGTCTCCCATCCAAGTACTAACCAGGGTCGACCCTGCTTAGCTTCCAAGATCTGACAAGATCGAGCTAACCTGGGCCATCCAGGTTAGGGCAGTATGAGCCGGTGTAAGGTGTTAACCTTAGTTACAGAGCAAATGACTTGTTCTTCAAACATGGGATTTCGAAGTCAGGGAAATGTGCATTTTGCAGCTGTACCAGAAAGCGACAAGAGTTTGCTACTGAATGCAAAATACGATACACTCTGGAACATCTTAACTTTCATATTTTTTTTTTAAAAGAAGAAGAAAATACACTTGAAAATGTGTGTTAATACTCCCAAGATTTTCCGAGGTCTGAGGAGCTTTGTCCTTCCTCGCAATGAACGGAAACAGCATTATGCAAAACAAGCACATATATGCACATATTCATCATTTTGCATAAATCTGCTTAGGTGTTACCTCTGCTCCTAAGACAGATGCCGCTATTTATACATATGATGCACAAGCACGGCTCAGAAAAACAGGGCCAATGTCAGCCATGAAGCTTTCTGGATGACCTGGGGCCCATCAGTCTCATATAACTAGCCCTGCCTCACAAGGTTGTTGTGAAGATAAAGGAACGGGGAGAGAGAGAAAGAAGAGAAGAAGAGATTGGATTTATACCCCGCCCTTCACTACCCAAAGGTGTCTCAGAGCGGCTTACAAACTCCTTTCCCTTCCCCTCCCCACAACAGACACCCCCTGTGAGGTAGGTGAGGCTGAGAGAGCTCTGACAGAAACTGCTCTTGTTCAAGAACAGCTCTTGTCAGAGCTACGGAGAAAGCTCTACCATGTCTGTTCATGGCTCCAGCCTTGGGATTTAAGCAGTGTTCCCTCTAAGCTGAGTTAGTGTGAGATGGCTCACACATTTTTGCCTTAGATCAGGACGGATGGCTCCAGAGCAAAACAAATTTATGCAGTAGACAAACCCCTTGCTCACAACTTTAATGCCAGTAGCTTTCTGGATGACCTGGGGCCCATCAGTCTCATATAACTAGCCCTGCCTCACAAGGTTGTTGTGAAGATAAAAGAATGGGGAGAGAGAGAGAGAAGAAGAAGAAGAGAAGAAGAGATTGGATTTATACCCTGCCCTTCACTACCCAAAGGTGTCTCAGAGCGGCTTACAAACTCCTTTCCCTTCCCCTCCCCACAACAGACACCCTGTGAGGTAGGTGAGGCTGAGAGAGCTCTGACAGAAACTGCTCTTTTTCAAGAACAGCCCTTGTCAGAGCTACGGAGAAATCTCTACCATGTCTGTTCATGGCTCCAGCCTTGGGATTTAAGCAGTGTTCCCTCTAAGCTGAGTTGGTGTGAGATGGCTCACACATTTTTGCCTTAGATCAGGACGGATGGCTCCAGAGCAAAACTAATTTATGCAGTAGCCAAATCCCTTGCTCACAACTTTAATGCCAGTAGCTCACCAAAGTCAGCTTAGAGGGAGCATTGGATTTAAGTAGTCATGGATCTGGCCGTGTCGAAAGTTAGATATATCAATGACGATAATTCCTATGCATATTGTAGACAAAAGGTCCGATCCAGCCAGCTTTTTAACTCAATCTCACTCAGCTCGCTTTCTTACTCCTGCCCTTATTCCACATGGCTATTGGCTACACAGGTTCCATGATCCCATATGACCTTTTCCTCCCTTTTTTTCACCAGTGGAAAAAGCTGTTTGGATCCAGCCTATATACAACATACTTTAAAGAGTGTGTCTCAGTGGAGGGCTCTACTGGTAGCAGGAGCTCCTTTGCATATTAAGCCACACACCCCTAGTGTAGCCAATCCTCCAAGAGCTTACAGTAGCCCCAGTAAGAAGAGCTCTGTAAGCTCTTGGAAGATTGGCTACACTAGGGGTGTGTCGCCTGATATGCAAAGGAGCTCCTGCTACCAGTAGAGCCCATCTGCTTGGCATACAGAAGGTCCCAGGTTCAATTAAGTAGTCAGTTAAAAGGACCAGGCAGTAGGTGAGGTGAAAGACCTCCGCCTGAGACCTTGGAAAGCCGCTGCCAGTCTGAGTAGACAATGCTGACTTTGGTGGACCCAGGGTCCGATTCAGTTTAAAGCAGTTTCATGTGTTCAGACGTGAATAATGTTGGCACAATCATTAATAAACGAGAATGTTTTGAATGATAATACCTCATTGAAGAGGTCAGTGCTTTCAAAGCTATAAATAGCTTGGTGTCTAACCATGTTGGTAATCCAAACATGCTGGTAATTCCAGCGGGCTGCATCTGTGCGAGAGCCCTCTCCAAATAATACATTTTGTTTACTACAGACTTTGGTTTCTACCTTCAATTTTTAACTCTGGCTGCCTCTCAAGATGGTAAATATTAGGATACTTGTGCTAAGGTAGCATACAGTTTGCAACTCTCTCAACTACTAGGTGTACTGGCCATTTTTCTTACAGAAAACTAAGATATTTATACTGTTAAAATCAATAAATATGCTGAACAGTATCCTTACCCATGCTACATTATAAATGAAGCATTTTACATTGTTAAATCAAGTAAGATAAGTTTTGATAGGAAAGTACTGCCTTGTGTTTCCATTATTTCAATGTTTCCTCAAGTTTCCTTTTTCCTCCTAGGAAAAAATGGAGGGGGGAACACATACCTCCCCCCCCCCTCAGTTTAAGAACACAAGAAGAGCCCTGCTGGATCAGACCAGTGGTCAATCTAGTCCAGCGTCCTGTCTCACACAGTGACCAACCAGTTCTTCTGGAGGGCCAACAACAGGGCATAGAGGCCAAGACTGAGGTCTTCTTTAGAACATAAGAGCCTTGCTGGATCGGACCAGTGGTCCATCTAGTCCAGCACCCTGTCTCACGCAGGGGCGAACCAGTTCCTCTGGAGGGCCAACAACAGGGCATAGAGGCCAAGACCTTCATTAGAACATGAGAGCCCCGCTGGATCTGACCAGTGGTCCATCTAGTCCAGCATCCTGTCTCACACAGTGGCCAACCAGTTCCTCTGGAGGGCCAACAACAGGGCATAGAGGCCAAGACCTTCATTAGAAAATTAGAGCCCTGCTGGATCTGATCAGTGGTCCATCTAGTCCAGCATCCTGTCTCACACAGTGGCCCACCAGTTCCTCGGGAGGGCCAACAACAGGGCATAGAGGCCACGACCTTCATTAGAACATTAGAGCCCCGCTGGATCTGACCAGTGGTCCATCTAGTCCAGCATCCTGTCTCACACAGTGGCCAACCAGTTCCTCTGGAGGGCCAACAACACAGCATAGAGGCCGAAACCTTCATTAGAGAGAGCCCTGCTAGATCCTACCAGTGGATCATCTAGTCCAGCATCCTGTCTCACACAATGGCCAACAAGTTCCCCTGGAGGACCAACAACTTAGGAATGTTACATCTCTAGTTTAGTTAATGCTGGTGCCTACCCTCACTGTAAAAAAACCTCCTTACACTGGGGGAAGGCATGACCACTGGCAGAATGGCTACATTGGATCTGATCCTATACAGGCACAGCTGCAAGAAGATGCAAGATAACATCTTGCCTTTTAACTGCCTAGCAAATAAAAATGTGCTTAAACAGACAAGCTTTTACCTTGGGAAGAAGCCACGGAAACCGAAGGCAGCTGCAGGGACGAGAACCCAATCCCTCCGTTGAGTAACTGGCCATTTGCCGCCGAACCAGGGATCTGGACGATGCCGTATTGGTTTATCTGGACGGGGGCCGTAAACGTCACCAAGGAGCCGCCATCTTGAGAAGCGATGGCTTCCTCGCTTTCTTCCTTCTTCACCTCCATGCTTGGGGTCAAGCCCGGGAAAGAGGCAGGCCCGGGACTGGGACTGTAGGTCGTGGTGGTGGCGGAGGACGAAGCGGCGGACATGGAAGTCTGGAGGAGCTTGAAGTCTTTCACGTCTTTGGAAGAAGGTGCCAAGATGTCGGCCATGGGAACCCCGTTGCTCAAAGCGCCCGGGGATGTTTTGGGCTGGTTTAAAGCGACGGTTTGCGAGGCCCCCATGTTGAGTCCGTTGAGAATGACCCCGTTGGGCCCCTGGATGAAGGAGGTACCGTTCAGGAAAACAGGGGACGGGCTGGCGGACACCAAGTTCCCGTTCAGCAGAACTCCCGAAGAGCTTAATGAGATTTTGGTGTTTCCGAGCTGTTGCATGTACACCTGCTCCATGTGGCTAGGGAGGCTCAAGCCGGCGGCTCCGTCAGAGGCGCTGACGAGGGAGTGGGGCGATAAGTCCTCTTGCCCCTTGCTGGATTCGTCTTCGGTGCTGGGGTTCCCATCCGACTCGCTGCAAGCCAAGAGAAGAAAGGACAGTGGACTTGAGTGGAATCTCCGTTGGCTACCAAGGCTACCAAAGAAGGAGGTCTGCAGATATTATAGAGCCTCCAGGTACAGGGTTTCAGAAGGGCAGTCAGGCTGGTCTGCAGCCGAAAAGCTTGATTCGAGACCAGCAAGATTTCCACGGTGTAAGCTTTTGAGAGAGAAAGCTCCCTGTGTCAGATATGACAAAGGGGGCTTTGGCTCTTGGAAGCTCATACTTCGAAAATCTTTTGGGTCTCTAAGGCTCTACTAAGGACCAAATTGCTGGCTAAGCGCCGCAACAATAAAATTCATTCATACTAAGGACCGGAATGGGCCAGGGTAGCCCGAGCTCGTCAGATCTGGGAAGCTAAGCAGGGTTGGCCATGGCCAACACTTGGTATGACGAAGGGGGCTTTGACTCTTGGAAGCTCAGACCCTGAAATTCTTTTTGGTCTCAAAGGTTCTACTAGAATGGGCCAGAATAGCCTGAGCTCGTCAGATCTTGGAAGCTGAGCAGGGTTGGCTATGGTTAACACTTGGATAGGAAACCACCAAGGAAGTTCAGGGTTGCTATGGAGAGCAAGGCAATGGCAAACCACCTAGAATGTAAGAACATAAGTGAAGCCATGTTGGATCAGGCCAATGGACCATGCAGTCCAACACTCTGTGTCACAAAGTGGCCAAAACCCAGGTGCCAGCAGGAGGTCCACCAGTGGGGCCAGAACTCCAGAAGCCCTCCCACTCTTGCCCCCCAAGCTCCAAGAACACAGAGCGCCACTGCCCCAGACAGAGTGTTCCATCTATAGGTAAAAGGTAAAGGTTCCCTTGCTCGAAAGCCAGTCGAGTCCGACTCTAGGGTTGCGGTGCTCCTCTCCGTTTCAAAGCCGAAGAGCCAGCGCTGTCCAAAGACGTTTCCGTGGTCATGTGGCCGGCATGACTAAACGCCAAGGTGCACGGAACGCTGTTACCTTCCCACCGAAGTGGTCCCTATTTATCTACTTGCAATTTCTTGCTTTTGAACTGCTAGGTTGGCTGGAGCTGGAACTAGAGACGGGATTCCGTCATGCGGCAACCCGGGTCTTGAACTGCTGAACTACTGACCTTCCACAGCCTGCAGTTCAGCATCTTAACCACTTGAGCCTTCTATACCTTGTGGCTAATAGCCTCTGTCAGGCTCCTGCCTTGAAAACCCTACAGGGTCACCCTAAGTTGCTGCGACTTGATGGCACTTTACACACACACACACACACCCACACACACACACACACCCACACACACACACACACCCACACACACACACACACACACACTGCTACTGGACTTGAACTCAGCTCTTCCCTGCACACATACCACTAGTAAGTCAAGAAGGAGAGTCTGAAGCCACCCAGCCCCTACATGCAAGTTCTCTATATGTGGCGTCACCTGATTCTGATCAGATGTAATCCCTCTGTGCAGGGAATGGACCAGCTCTTTATTTACAAGATTTATATGCCGCTTTTGCCAATGACCTGCTCAAAGCGGTGCATAAATGGAAATGCTTAGCGCACGTCTCAAAAGGTACGTTAAAAGAGTCATGTTGTTCGTATGCATGCAGGCTCTGTCCTGATGTGGGACCGAATAGACATAGAGTGGGGCAGGGCTCTTTTTGTAGAAAAAGCCCAGCAAGAACTCATTAGCATAACAGGCCACATCCCTGACAGCAGAAACTCATTAGCATATTAGGCCACATCCCTGACAGCACAGCTCATTGGCATATTAGGCCACACCCCCATGTTACCAGAAGTGTGGTCATCCAGCCACACCCACCTTTTGCTTGTTATTCTGTTTACCTTGTTTGTTGTCAAAACCAGGGCTTTTTTTGTAGCAGGAACTCCTTTGCATGTTAGGCCACACACCCCTAATGTAGCCAATCCTAATGAGTTTCTGCTGTTGGGTGTGGCATAGTATGCTAATGAGTTCCTGCTGGGTGTGGTCAACTTGGAAGCCAGCCGGAACTCCGTTCCTGTGCGTTCCTGCCCAAAAATAGCCCTGGGGTGGGGTTAATGGACAAGATCCCACACTCGTCTTTACATGCACCGCTCACACGCAGACACTCTGCATACATGGTTACTGTTATTTTTAAGGCAGAGACCGATAGCTTCTTCGCCCAGGAAAGGCTGGAAGTAGTTTGAAAGAGAAATGGTCGTGACAGCAAGTAAACTTATCTCCCTGTTGCCTCGGCTAAACAAGCATTGACGCTTTTTACTTCATTCCTGGATAAGGCTAACACTGACCAGATGGAGAAAGGACCATTTCTAGGGCCAAATAATAAATCTTCCAGTTTCAACCATCTTGATGGCTTTCCCCCCTCCTTCGACTCTTTGCCCATTTTTTTCTGACTCACAAAAATGTAGATAGGCCGTTGACAATACAGCAGCTGCCTGCTTCATTTGGAGGGTATGTTTCCAATTACTGTTTAAATAAAACAGGATTGAATGTATAGTGCAATCCTGTGTGGGGTCACCCCAGTCTAAACGCACTGATATCAAGAGGCTTAAATTGCAGGAACTCTGTTTAGGATGGTACCGCTCAATGCTCCCTCTAAGTTGTGGGGTCTTGTGAGCAAAAACTCTACTTTGCGAGCTACCAGCATTAAAGGTGTGAGCGAGCCATTTGGCTACTGCACAAATCAGTTTGCTCTGGAGCCCTCCTTCCTGAGCTAAGACAAAAACCTGTGAGCTGGAGGCTAAAAAACTGTGAGCTAGCTCACACTAACTCAGCTTAGAGGGAACCCTGGCTACCGCTTTTAGATTTTGTAAGCATGTCAAATGCTACAACTTGACTTGGCAAAAAGGCAGGGCTATTTTTGGGCAGGAAAAAAAAAGGAATGCACAGGAACGGAGTTCCGGCTGGCTCCCAAGTTGGCCACGCCCAGCAGGAACTCATTAGCATAATAGGCCACACCCAACAGCAGAAACTCATGCAAAGGAGTTCCTGCTACAAAAAAGGCCCTGGGTTTGGACAACAAACAAGGTAAACAGAATAACGAGCAAAAGGTGGGTGTGGCTGGATAACTACACTTCTGGTAACATGTGGGTGTGGCCTAATGTGCTAATGAGCTGCGCTGTCAGGGGTGTGGCCCAATATGCTAATGAGTCCCTGCTGTTGGGTGTGGCCTATTATGCTAATGAGTTCCTGCTGGGCTTTTTCTACAAAAAGAGCCCTGCTGACAAAGGTATGTGCATTGCACGGTGTTCCTGAAGCTCTCTAACCTGGATAGCCCAGGCTAGCCGGATATCGTCAGATCTCGGAAGCGAAGCAGAGTCGGCCCGGGCCAGTGTTTGGATGGGGGATCGCCCAGGAATGCCAGGGTCATGATGCGAGGCAGGCAATGGCAAACCTCCTCCGAACATTTCTTGCCTTGAAAACCCTGCATTGCAATGCTCAGGACAGGGTTTGATCCTTGGTTCTCCAGACGCAGGAAACACATGAACACATGAAGCTGCCTTATACTGAAACAGACCCTGGGTCCATCGAGGTCACTCTTGTCTACTCGGACTGGCAGCAGCTCACCAGGATATCAGGTAGAGGTCTTTCACATGACCTACTTTCACATCTCATCGTCAGATCTCCGAAGCTAAGCACGGTCGACCCTGGTTAATATTTGGATGGGAGACCTCCATGGAAGTCCAGGCTTGCGATGCAGAGGCAGGCAATGAGAACCCTATGGCAGTGGTGGCGAACCTATGGCACGGGTGCCAGAGGTGGCACTCAGAGCCCTCTCTGTGGGCACGCGTGCCATCGCCCCAGCCAGGCCCAGACCATCATTAAAGCGTCGAATTCTCTGCCAAATAATTTTAATTAAATGAAAGCATTTGGGATTGCTTTCCTTACTTTGTTTGCATCATGTTAAGTTAATGTATGAGTTGTTTTTTCTAAAATAAAACCTCAGTATTCAGGTTAAATTGCCGTGTTGGCACTTTGCGATAAATAAGTGGGTTTTGGGTTGCAGTTCGGGCACTCGGGTCTCTAAAAGGTTCGCCATCACTGCCCTATGGGGACATCATACGTCAGCTGTGACCTGATGGCACTGTCCACCACTTCTCCACTTGCACCTGGCTGGATGACCTTGGTCAAGCCGTAGTTCTGATAAGAGCTGTCCTTGAAAAAGAGCAGTTTCTGTCAACAGCTCTCTCAGCCCCACCTGCCTCACAAGGAGTTTGTAAAGGCCTCAGCCTGAGACCCTGGAGAGCAACTGCCGGTCTGAGTAGATGATACTGACTTTGATCAATTGATGGTCTGATGCAGTCTAAGGCAGCTTCATGTATCTTCTTGTGCATGTTCATAGTAGGGCTGGATCCAAAGAACCATGAGCACGCCCCATCTTCAGCGGTGTGCTCCTACTAGCTCCTGAGAATCGCGGGGTTCTTGGGAAGAGTGTGGGCTGCAGTTCAAATGGTAACCAGTTTGGTGTCGTGGTTAAGTGTGCGGACTCTGATCTGGGAGAACCGGGTTTGATTCCCTACTCCTCGACTCACACCTGGCTGGATGACCTTGGGCAAGCCGTAGTTCTGTCAGAGCCGTTCTTGAAAGAGAGCAGTTTCTGTCCGAGCTCTCTCAGCCCCACCTACCTCACAGGGTGTCTGTTGTGGGGAGGGGAAGGGGAAGGAGTTGGTAAGCCGCTCTGAGACACCTTTGGGTAGTGAAGGGCGGGGTATAAATCCAATCTCTTCTTCTTCTTCTACATATTGATGGCACATTGCTCCTGACAAGGCAATTTTTATTTGCACTCTTAGGACCTAAACCGGAAGGTACACATATTACTTCCAGTATATACAACTACTTCTGACACAAGGCCAGATATATTTGTGGCCCCAGATAGAAACCTTTTGGTGTGTCATTCAATTCCATATTGGAACATTCCAATTTTGGTCCTATTTTATTTATTGTTAATTGCCTTACGTGTGTTACAGGCAGTGTTCTCTCTCAGCTGAGTTAGTGTGAGCT